GTCGCGAAGTTCTGAATTGCTGTTATGATTACTCTGGACTTTGTTTGCGTCGCTCAATCAAAAGCACTCCATACCCTTTGTGTAATCGTGTATCACAATGAAATTCAACTTTGCCTTGGTTGGGTGACAGAATCACCAGTACTGTTAGTTTTGATAATTTTTTTTTCTTAATATTTTTGTTCACAGGATGACGATTGGGAGAACTGGGACTAGCCGGGAAACCAAACCAAACCAAAACAAAACAAAAAGATAAAAGCAGAAAAACTGTGCGAGAAACTGGGCCCGACTGTCGGGAGGAGCAAGTTTACCATTCTGATAGTTTGTGCAATGTTTACAAATATATTATATTAAAAGTAGCGCAGACAAAAAAATTCTTAAGCAAGTACTTCTCTTTAAGACATGCGAACGTACCTAGTCTACTGAGGGAATCTCTATAAGGTGTTTTTTACACGGATGCTGCTCCAATGTTCGCTATCCTTATTCTTCTAGGCTATATATATATTCTACTTTTATTTTCTATTTTTGTGTTTTTTTTTTTTTTGGAAGGTGGATTAGCATTTGGAAAAAAAAACTGCAAACGAATTTCAAGTTATTTCGGTCAAGAAGATAAGGTTATCAGAGAAATCTAGATTAAAATTTATTTACTACAAGACAGTTTGAATAAGTGCTGTGTCTACCATGGAATAAGTGTCCAGGCGTCTCCCGTTGACTTTTTATGGAGTATTGTCAACATATACAGTAATTCCTCAAATAAGCACCCGCGCTCTAATCAGCGCCCTCCTCAGAAAAAGCGCCCACCCTTAACTCAAATTTCAATCAAGCGCTCCACTCAAAATAAGCGCCCCCATCCTCCCTCACTTTCCTAAATAGCGGATAAACCAGGAAAACCTGTTTCCACTGGCATTTATTCATAACACTTTCACCTTCAACTTCAGCAGAATCAGTACGGGAGAGTAGTTTCTCTTCCGTTTCAGTTTCAGTTATTTCTATCTCCGTGTGCTTGTAGAGTTCCTTTATGCGCGTTATCTGTTCTTCAATTTTTGTCCTGAGCACCCCCCTCGATTAAACGTCGAGGAAAACGGTACGTACATTTTTTTCTCCCATACCACAGCGACGATCTGCCCGAAATAGTTACTTTTCATCATGATGTGCTTCGTCATATGAGTTATTTGTATTTTAGTTTACGTCCTGGGTAAAAACCAAATATTGGATTTTTGTCAAGACTACTTGTTCATGACGCCAGTACACGATTTAATGTTGTTTTTCACGCATAAAATAAACATCGAAGCAAGAACCATGCCGTGGAATACTGGATGAAAGCCCGTCCGTTCGTAGGGCCATTCGATGATTTACCGTTAAACTTGCATTGCAAACGAATGGCTGATGATGATACAAAAACCCCGGCTCATATGAAACCAACAAGGATAAAAACAAAACAAACAACAAACAAAAAACAAAAAAACAAAAAAAAAAAAAACCCCGGCTCATATGAAACCAACAAGGATAAAAACAAAACAAACAACAAACAAAAAACAAAAAAACAAAAAACAAAAAAACAAAAAAAAAAAAACATGAATTGTGAACGATTACATTTTGTTAATGAGATTGTGCACGGCAGACTACTTCCTTGATAAGGGAAGTAATTAATAATCTTCCTTGATACTGCCAAAATACTTCCCTAACAAGCTTTGTGACCACGCCTCGTTTATCCCCAACATAGAAATCGGGCTCCCTCACTGTGTGGGCTTCCTCACTACAGAACGCAAAAGCTTCGAGAACGACGAAGGAGGGTCCAAATTTTGTCACTGATGATAGACTTAGAAGCTACCAAAAAGTATAGACCGTCGAAGACAACGAGAGAGAGAAGATGCTGGACTGGAATCCTAGAATGGCGCGAAACGCGAAACCTACTTGTCTCCCTCCCCTGTCAGTCTTTCATTTGTAGATGACGTCATCAATAGAGACGTGCTTGCCAACAAAACACAACATGGCGGACAAGGGTAGCGATTGTCAAAATAACGCTTGTGAAAAAGAACCACAGATCAGGAAAAATAAGGCGAAAGGCCCGGAAAAAGATCTTCAAGCGATTTTCATGAAACTCAGAGTAGATAGTGGACCGTAAGTAGCTATTACTTACTTCCTGTTTTCTTCGTAAATTTCAACTTTTGTTTGGGAGTCGAATAAAGTCCGATATTGTCGGAGAAACTAGGTCTTTTTGACGATAAATCAAGTGTTTTTTGTCTTCCTTGTTTTTTTTATTTGACGCAAAATCTTTTGAGGGGAGTTATTTAATTATCATCGTTAATACTATTTGAAAGTATTCTGTCTTAGAAAGGGTATAGTTCGATCAGACACAATATTAAGGCGCGAAAGCACGTGAATCAGCAAGCATTATCTGGACCACTGAAATGACAAAACATTTTTTTCCTTTTGAATTAAGAAAACTCAGGCGGAGTTTAAGGATGTGAGAACTTCCCAAGATATAGTGGTGATCTAAAGTTTCGTATTAGGGCCACAATTGTATGCTTCAATTCACTGGTAGTTACAAATGACTTCAGATATTCTCGTGTGCGAGTACGAAAATCGAAATGATAGTCGTATTGCCAGCATTTCGGTTTCCGTGGAATGCGTATTTCGGTTTTCGTCGAATCCTTCCATAATTTCTTTTTTCCTTTAAATTCAAAAGGTAAGGGAATTATAGTTTACCTTATTGAGAGATTGACCAAAAAAAGTGTGAAAGTTTAATTTTAATTTATGCTGTGTCATCGTTTTTCTGTGGTCAGTCTTGATAGATAGGACGTTTGTTCTTCTGCCTGCACAGAGCACTTCTACATCGGAAATATGATCATGATAGTTACATAGTATCCGAAGTGCTACTGGTTTGGCTCAATAGTTAATTACCATTTACAAACATACCTTTACAAGCAATTAATAGCCCAAATCAACTAGGTGTGTTTGAAGGATTATGGAAATTTTTCCCAATTTTTTTTTGTCAACTGGCACCTCAAAGTCTCTCATGTCCAGATGAGGTCAGCCTCAGGAAGAGAAAAGTGGCATAAAGCTAGCTAATTTGAAAGTGTACACTTTGTGATTCACTAACTGCTGAACATGTAGTTTTACTTTTAATTTGCTCTGGTCTTTCAGTATGATTTTGCATTCATTATTGTAAACCATTATCTTTCAATGTCTTTGTATGCTTTTTGTAGATGTGTGAATGCAATTTACTAGCCTTTTTTGCATATTTTACGTGCATGCAAAGTTGTGCATGTTTTTCATTAAGGGAGCTGGCATTTTTCTCTTATTATTTTCTCTTTAGTAAAAGACTTCGTAGGAAAACCTGTCTGGGTGTTCCTGGTAGTTTGAGAAGCAGAAACATTGGTGGAATACAGAATGCGAGAAAGATCCTCAGGGAGCCAACATTTGTCTACAAGAATCAACAAGCTTTCTTTGATGTCTACAAGAAACAACAAGCTTGTGGTTTCAGAAGAAGAAGACATAAAGCTGGTGTTAGCCTAAGAAAGAAAGGATGTAGAGAAGACCAAAGAGAGTCACATAGTGACAGTGAACTTGAATGCAAGAAATCTCTTTTGGCAAAGAGTGTGTGGAATTCAAGCAAAGAAGGCAAAGTTGTACCTAAGTCTTTTCTATCAAGGGAAATGGCTGCAGTTGATTGCAGTAGACAACACAGAAGATTTCAGGGTGCAAATGTCCAAAGACACGCAAGAATGAACTTTGATGACACAACGCCTGAAGAGTTGGCGGCATATTTTGATCAGTTGCTTTATTTTCCGAAGCCTATGTCAGCTATGGCTGAAATGATGTACACATAGTTGGGTAGTATTACATGTAGTACATGTAATATTTAAAGTCTTTGGTGCTTTGAGAAATTGGGTAATTTTGAATTATCTTTAAAATGTTTGCCCTTTGTTTATTGTAAATAGGTCTTCTAAATAGAATTTCCTTCAGTTGATTTTTCTGTCAACTTTTGATCTTTAATTTTCTGAAGTTATATAATAAACATTAATTGGTAGCACAATTAGTTGAATGCCTTTTTTAGTTAGAGGTTCTCGATTATTTCCAAGAGGAATCTCCATATATATATCTTATTAACCAAGCGCGAGGGCCGTACTGGGAGAATATCGGCCCAAGGTCCATACAAAAAGGACTGAGGGCTGATATTCTTCCAGAACGGTCCCTAGCAATCTTGGTTGATAAGAGATTTATTATACGACTGAAGTTCAAAGGGACACAAGTGCAGTATCATGCGGGACCATTTGGGACAGTGCCTGGTCCAATACTGGGAGAGTATTGACTGGCAATAGAGCATTTTGATTGGTTGATTTTAGTTATTGGCCCTCTGACTGCCAGAGTTGTGTAATATATATATTTAGGTAGGAAAAAACAAAGGGACTTCACTACACTAGTCCTTTTGCTTTTTTCTATCTCAACATATTGTGCTCTACTGTTATGTATCGAGCACTGTACTACAGAAAATCAAAACACAGTCTTCTAATATATATATCTAACTGATTTTTAGCTGCATATAAATCCCCTGATAATTTTTTAGGAACAATTAAAAATAACCTTTTTAGGTGTTCCATTATGAAATAAATATATCTTATTAGACGTTTTGTTGTGTAGTATTATTGAGTATTTTTACAAGTTGTGCTGTATTTTGAC